GGTGGTCGTGCCGGACGAAGCCGAGGTGGAAATTACAGCGGGTTCCCTCGGCTCGGAGGGCGGAGGGGGAGATAGCAGGGCGGGAGCTCGCCTCCTGGCAGCGTCCCACCGGTAGCGCGAAGCTGGTCGGCAGCGCCGTGTCCCCGGTTTAACTCCCGGTGAAGTCAAGGATGAGGCCGGCTCTCAAAAACGTATCCCTCGTGTTGTCATCTAACCGTAGCACCGCTTAGCTGTGATGTAGGCGAAGTTAAAATGCGTAGAGCCTCGGACAGCTCGGCAGTTAAGTGCGGAGTTAGAAATAACGACCGTAATTGGCTTCCCTTTTCTGGATGCCGTTTATTTATTTTTTTTTTAAAACCGAAGTGGGAATAGGAGTTATTTGCTTTGGGCCTTTGTCAGGTGAGCGCCCGGCACAGCTCGGGGAGCCCTGGCAAAGGAAGGTTCAGCCACAGGAGCCCGTGCTGGGGGATCGCAGCACCTAACCGGAGGCTGGGAGAAAGACCTGTTTCAGAATAGCTCGAGTAGTCATTCAAGAATTATATGAAAAAAAAAAAATCATTAAAGTTGCTGTCTGTACTCCCCTGGTGATTCGGGTACTGTACTTGCACTGTCTGCTGTGTTTTATTTGCTTCCTCGCCTTTGAAAATTCAGGAAGCGTCACTGTTTGGAGCTGAGCTCTGAAGGTTTTATTGTTGGGAAAAGCTGAATTTGGGTGGCTGATAGGAGAGCTTTGAAGACTTAACTTTATTTAAACTGATAAATGTTCATACCTGTATTGAAAACAAAGGATTACACGGCTGACCACTAATGATTTTTCCATAGAATACTTTCAAGATACACTGTCTTGATAATCGCATGAGGAGCTGCTTCTTGTGTGAGAGGAATTACATCTGGATTTGATAATCCTGCCTGACCCAGAAGAGATTTATTTCAAACTAACTTTCTTCTTGTATTTTTAAGAATATTTTGTCTAGTATCAAAATACAAAAAAAACCAAAGCTGACTTGAGTGGCCTTTTTTATTTTTTCCCAAGCAGGCAAATACTTTTGTATGTTTGTTTTTTTTTTTTTTTCTCCTGTACACTCTGTTATAGATATGTTATAAACCACAAGGGAGACTGGGGGTAAGGGCAGGGGAAAAAAAAAAAAAAACACTAAATGGTCTCTCCCTTCTCTGAGAAACTGACGAAAATTTCTTCTAAGTAGGAGAGCTGCGAGGGAGCCCTTAGGTGCTGTGAGGATTTGACCTAGGCAACACCTGTTTAGCCAAAAGCAAAAGTCTTCAGATAAATAATGATGTAAATGTGAGTGTGATTAGTCAGAGGCTCTGAGATAATAGAGATGGGAGTTATACAACCACCAGATTACTTAAATTTCCAGATTCAGTATGAAGAAAGTGAGGAACTGATACTGTCTGCACGAAACCTACACCTACAGTTGCTGTGTAGATGCTGTACTAGCCGGTTGTCACCTCATGTGCCTTGTTAAACTTGAGCCATGAAACCCCGCAGCAATTATTAGTGTTACTGTGGTACTCGTCCACATAATTTGCCATAACACATTCTCATTGGATACTACTAGATGTCCCACCCATGGTATATAAATAACCAATGCAAAGTATGTAAGAGAAGAGAGAGTGTTTGAAACCACAGCTTTGAAGGAAAAGTAATGTCGTTCTGTTGCATGACATCTAGACAAGATGTGCCTTTCCTCTGCCTCATGTTGTCAACTTCTTTCATTTATTCAGCTGGATATTTGTGTGCTTCAAAAATAAAAGCATTAGATCCACGGAAAGTCAGGTCCTGCGATGAAGTCTGAGTGCATATGAAACAGGGAGGTAGAAGGCTAAGTTCTTGGGTGCACTGGGTGATGTTGGTCCTCAGCTGTTGAGCAGTACTGAACAAAAGGGAGGCAGTGTCCAGGAGCAGCTCCAGCTTTACGAATCACTCCTGCGATGGAGATCCCGTAGCTCGGTCTGCAAAGAAGGTGCTTGCTGTCAGGCTGGGCGCTGCCTCTTTGATGTCATGAAGCTGTACCTCTGTTTAGCTACTGGCATTCTGTAAATACAGTAATAAACCAACTGGTCCTAGGGAAGGTTTCAGCTAATCATCATGACCCGTGGTGTCTAAAAATCTCCTGCTCCCTTATGTTAAGGGAGCCTTTTTGTAAATAGGGCAGGTCCCCTGCATAAGGACAGTGTTTTTATTCACACCCAATGAACAAACACCTCCACCCACTGTTGTTGTTTTAAAAGACTCCAGCTGCTCATGAATATAGGGTCAGGGAGGGCCGCCTAAATGTTTCTCTGTGCTTTCTCCCCAGCGCAGCCAGCAGAGCTGTTTCCTGTTCTTTGTTTCAAGGCTGGGGTTTGCGTCACACATTCCAAGTGGCATATGTGGTGCTCTTTCCTGTTTCAGGCTGTTTTCTGGCCGATCGGTAGCCTCGTCCAGGCCCCTTGTCACTGCCCCTCAACTCCCAGTCCCCACCCAATGAGTTATCATGTCTCTACACACTCGCGATTGCTTAAGATGCCCGCGTTATGTCATAATGAGGTTTCCAAGTTAACCTTTAACGCACGCCCTCCGCTCCAGTGTATTTATGGGGGTGCACTGGAGAGCTTCGCTCCCTTTGCTGAAAACTTGTGCTCGAGTCTCCAGAAAGTTGTGAGCCAATTTTCTGCGCTCGCTTGCTCATCAGCGGACCTGGAATAGCTCCATTAAAGTCGCGGAGTTACACTGGTGCAAAAAGAGTGCAGTGGGAAGAGAATCCGCATTTGTAGGCTCATGCTTGTAAGAGGGTTTTGGCTTCTGCCCTTTCCCAACCTGTATGGCCCACCGTAAACACTTCATATTTCCTGGTCTCAAATGGAATAGATATTTTCCCTTTATACGAACTAGAAGAGTTAGTGTCTTCCAGATGTAATACAGAAAATGAGGCACTGCTGGCTAACTTTTCTTTGGAATAAATAGGTATGGCTGTTCCACATTTTGCATTTTTGAGGGCATAAAAATAAAGTTTTTACTACTGTTTTTGTATTTGTCTTCCCCCACCCTGTTGCAGGCAGACATAGGTAAACATCGAGAGGAAATTCAGAAAGAGAACATAAATCTTTCTCTCGCTTTGGATCTGACAGAAGAAGAGCTAAAGGACCCAAGCCAAAGCTCATTGAAATCAAGAAAAAGACTTGCATTAACTTCAGTGGGCTTTGAATCAGGCCCTGGATGAAAATGCAAGATGGAGTGTTTATTCTTCTCTGTCATTTATGGGCCGGAATATGCATGGTTTCTGTACACCCAGAAATACTTCCACCCTTCCATTTTACCCCTTTTCTATTTCACTAATTTTTTAAGCATTCTTTTGGTTCCTGCTGTTGCTCATTTGGATGCTAAAAGTTAGCTGTTTGTGATCATTGCAGATATCTTTGAAGAAGTATCCGAAATACATGCTTTAAACTTCCTCTTTCAGGGCTTAATTGTATGTGAAAAATAATTTTTACTGAATTACGTGCACATCCTTACATCAACTTGTTTTTTGTCTGTTCAGAAATCCAGATAACAAGAAGTATTTGGCCACAGTTTTGGTAAGTTGTTTATTGATTATTTTCATTTGTTACTCTCAGTTGGTTTTACTTTGTTGTTTTTCTGTTGATTTTAGAATACCATGGATGAGTTTATCCACTAGAACCCGATTAAATATCTTAATTCTGGTACTGTTAATTTGCACAGGATTTCAAACATATTTAATCTTTTTTCCCATGACAGAGGAAAAGTGTTGCATTTAACTGCATTTAATATTGGAAACTGGTGTAGAATAAGTGCAGTAAAATTTGTGGTTCACACCTTTTTGTAGCCAGAAGTTCTACAAAATCAGGGACTGAGATTAAAATTATAATAGTTTTGTAAACCAACTTTTTAATATTAATTAACACCACTAACAGGAGGTCTTTGAGAGTTCTTTTATGCTGTCAGCATCGAAGCTTTGTGTTTTCATTCCGAGGCTAGTTGCTTCCAATCCGGAATATGAAGTTTGGCAGAGCTGATTTTTAGGAGAGATTTAACCCTTCCCTGTTAAGCATTTGCTTAATGCCGAGGCTTCCTTTGAGGGTTTTGTAGCCATAGTGGGCATCTCCCAGGGGAAGGAAGTCTAAGTGTGGATCAGCCAAATGGAAAGATAAAGCTCTAACAGGTTTTTAATAGTAAACTTAAGCCAGAATGGAAAAAGAAACAAACGCGTGGTCTGCCTATCATGCAGTCAGTGTGTGTTACCAACAAACTAACTTGATCCGTGAAGGCATGACAGGCTTTCCACTTTTAAAGAGTCTAAGCTGCTTTGATCACTGTCTCATTTGTACCCACTACACTATCCAGCTCTTCTCCCTGTTTGTTTTCTTTTCCACTTCCGTAGGTACACAGAAGTTCATCGGCATTTGCCCTGTATTCAGATCTTCATTCAAATTAATCATTTAGCCTATTATTCATAAATGTACACTTCCTTTCTTTAGGATTAGATTTTTTTTTCTTCTTCATAGTATCACAAATGTTGAATCTCTGTTTCATATGTTTCATGAAATACCAGAACCCTTTATGTAAGAGTATTTTCTGTCATTCTTCCCTCATAATAAAAAGATAGGATTTCTATTTCTCCTTTTAAATTATCTTAAAAATTAACCTCTTAAGAAAAACACAACAAAAAAACCCGCGAAGTTCAGTGTGGAAGGGAAAGATTATCATACCATTCCACATACCTCACTTGTTTTGAAAAGTCTGATCTTTTATCCTTACTAGACTGTTTCTCCTTCTAAGAAGTAGCTTGAGACAGGAAACCAGACAACAGTCTGCCCTGATAAGGGAGAATATTGTCTAATGGAGGTGCCTCAAGAGCTTTTCTTTCTCTCTTCCTTAGGTTCAGTAAATGTAGAACTGAAGGTTGAACAGGGTTTACGTGGGCTCCATTTTTCCTTGGTAGAGATGACATTTTCTTAATGAGTGCTGCAAGTACTTTTTCACCCCAAATTTTTGCATACAAGAAAGCCATTGCCAGGCATGTGGCTTCAAAGAGCCTGCAACAGTATTATCATAAATTTAATGGAAATACTGATTAGTCTGCTACACAGCTGATGAATTATTATGTCAATGCAGTTCTAAGTCAAAGTGATGTCAGCAAAGTTAGGATGCACAAGCTGTGCAAAAAACCAGATTTTTCAGCCTGCTTGCAGTGCTGAAAAGAGGAAGGTAAAAGATTTTCAAGTCAATAAAAAGCAAAAATAGTCTGAGATACTAAATAACAGAATCCTATGGAAATAATTCTTTTTCTTTGTGCCTATCAAGTAAAACTTTAAGCAGAAAATTTTTGCCCAGGTACCATTTTCTTTTTACACAATATCCAAACTTTTTCAAGAGTTACTACCATTTCCCAGTGGAAATCCAGTGAATAAACAAACACAGAAGGCTGTCAATCAGTAAAACGGTTTTCTTGGTGTACTAGTTCTTCATGATTCTCCCCCCACTCTGTTCTTCAGGGACTGGCTGCTCCGGTCCCTTCCCCCAGCACCGTGTCTGAGCCTTCGCTCCTTCCCCTGCTCTTGCTTGCTTTGAGTCTGACTGCTGTGCTGAGCTGGAGAGTTTCTTTGCCTGCTGCTATTTTGGGGCCCAGTGCAGTTAAGCGCTTGCTTACTTCCCATTAAAGTTAATGGAACTTTAGAAACGCTTTTTTGCTGACTCAGGTCTTGATGAGCAACTGGTACAGTAAGTGCAAACACATCTTGTTACTAGTCCTGGAAAACTCTTTTTCGACCCTTTCCAGGGAATCCTGCTCTCAGAAACTGTTTTTTCTCTGTCAAGCTCTCTTTCAAGGTTCCACTAAAGAAGACTTCTCACCCAGGTTCAGAAAACCTCCCCACTCTTTGGATTTCATCAGTGGAGAGTCTTCTGACATTATCACTTCTCCTTAGTATCAGGGGAAGTTTGACTCGAGGCTCACAGAAGTGATAGTTTCAGAGCAGCAGCCTAAGTCCCAAAGGGCTTGGACTGGGGAGCTTTGGCCACATGACTTAGGCTGGCTGCTAGATACCAACAGTGCTGCAAGAGCTGCAGTGTCTTTGTGGAGGGCGCTCATGCAGTGCTAATTTAGCAAATATCATTATGTTATTCTGTAATTATAGCAACAATAGCAGTCATACCTTGAAGCTTCTAGACGAAGCCTCACTGTACCACAGGGCAGCATTCCTTGCTTCCCCCAGGCACAAAGATTGAGAAAGCAAACCCCATGCGTGCTTTCAGGCAGGGTGAAGAGAGGCAGAATTTGTGGTCACCACCCCCCTCCTCACAACAAGAGTATCTGTCGGGTCACTGACGGCTCTTCCAGGTATATAATGAGAGCAAAGGCTCTGTGTTAGAGGGAGGCTTTGTAGTTGTTGGATGTGCACAGTCAAAACTGGCACTCCACCCCACCCTTTCCTTTCATAACAGGTCTGCAGAGTTGATGGACCTTGAAGGTAGATGTACAGAGCTGCTGGGAGTAGCTGCAATGCGGTTGCTCTTCTCCAGCTGCTCTGCAGTGCAGATGTGTAGTCTGGGTGCATTCTTTAACTGCTTTGCTTATTTCATTTAGGGTAAATAATCTGTACAAGTCCTTGTTGTCAGAATACAGGTTAAGTACCTTTAAGCTTTCATTTACTCTTAATTATGCCTCTGAAACAGTAAACCTTACCTGTCAGGAAGTTAATATCGAAAAGTCTCCAATCCTGACAAGATGGTGAGCTCTACCAGTGATGACCTTCCCTTCTGGAAGGGATACTTTGCTGCATATTGGATCATAAGGGCAGAGTTTGTATGTTTTCTGGCTTGCTATCTTCACTGGACTTCAGATAGGAAAAGCCTGAGGGACTTTTCCTGGACATTACCTTGCACCTGTCCTTATTTGCATACAAAACCCAATTGCTTCATTTGTCTTTCTGAAGTACAGGGTGTGAGCAAAATCTTATCAAAAGCCATGTCCTGTTTGGACAAGTTGGACTGACTTGGCAGAGATCCACAGGGTGGAGTGAATGGGAGGAGGCAAGAAAGTAAAACTGGGTGGCTTGTTCGCAGAAAAAGAGAGGGAGAGCAGAAAAAAGAGAGGGTGGAATGTTTGCCTACCGGATTGTAGTTAATTATTTAGTTTCAGATTACATGCATTTTAAATTCTTCTAGCCCACATGAAAAAAAACCTTTAATGCAAAATAGTTTATCTAATAACGTGAAAGACAAAGGCCCTTATTTTTTAATATGCTTAATATGAATATATTGTTGTCTCCTCACTGTTTTTTCCAGGGTACCTCAGGAATGAGAGACGGTATTTTGATTTTCCAGAAATTAGTTGTATTTACTAAACAATTTGTGGGCTTCCAAACAAGTGCATTATGAAATCAGTGTGTAAAGTAGAACCCAGCTGTTTTTTCATTCCTCTGTAATAGAAACAGATAAGGCTGTTTACCTTCCCTATTGCCCCCTTCTCAAACGTTTAGGAGAGAGAGATTGGGAGGTTTTGAGTTAGTAGGCATGATTTTACAAATAGACCAGGAAAAACTACTGGCTTCTTACTAGAAGTAGCATGCTTTATTTGGGTGTGAGTGTGCATGTATGTATTTTGTTTGTGAATGTGGTCCGAGCAATCAGTTTAGAACGTTATTCTTAAATACAAAGATAATTGTTTTGTGAGTGTATTTGCAGCCTTGGGAAAGTGTCCTTCTGAGCTAAATCTTAAATGCCAGAACCAAAGCTGATTTATATTGACTCTATAGCAGCTCTGTCAGTTTCCACCAAATAAGAATCTGACCCTGTGATCTGGACTGAAAGGACCAAGCATTATATATTGATAATTTTCCTTTCTTGAAAATGGGTTTCCAGTCACTCTCAAATGGGGAAAAGAAACCTACCATTTAAGAATAACGTGATAAAAAAGTGCTCAATTTCTGTGCTATGATGCAGCAATAAAAGTAGCGTTTTCCTCTGCTGTTCTTAGATGACTGCACCTGAGAAAGTCTGAGAATTACTTTTCACTTTTATTCAGGGCATTACGCTTTCTGTTGCCTATGTCAGTCTAATTCCTGCACAGTAATTTAGAGCCCTCTCAGGAAACACTCAAACGCATAGCATGACATGCGAAATGTGTGTCAAGTGTCTTTAACACACTTTCTTGAAGTAAAAGGTGAAAAGGAGTAACTCTTAAACTGAAGAAAATCCAATTTAAAACAACAAAAATGACAAAAGGAGTAGCCTGGGAGTGTGACTGCTTGCTTAGAACATACTCTTTCTCCTCCCACCCTCTCCCTCTCCCTCTCCCTCTCCCTCTCCCTCTCCCTCT